TTGTATATACGTCTGAGCGGAAAATCTAAAAAAATTCGTGCTGGCAGCTATAAAATTGAACAAGGTACTAGCGCCAAAGACTTGCTGGAAATGTTGGTAGAAGGAAGGCAGGTACAAGCCAGATTTACCATCATAGAGGGTTGGAATTTTTCCCAAGTAAAACAGGCTTTAGCGCAGCTCCCAGGGCTAGTGCCCACCATAGATGGTATGAGCGATGCACAAATTATGCAAATTTTGGGGCGACCAGGCATACATCCAGAGGGGAGGTTTTTTCCAGATACTTACTATCTGCCAAACGGAAGTAAAGATACTGTAGCGTTAAAACTTGCCATGCAAACGATGGATAAACACTTGCAACAAGCTTGGCAAACACGTAACTCACAAAGTGTTTTGCGCACTCCAGACGAACTATTAACACTGGCTAGTATCATAGAAAAGGAAACTGGACTAGCTTCAGATAGGCAAAATATTGCATCGGTGTTTCACAACCGATTGCGCATAGGGATGCGACTGCAAACTGATCCTGCGGTGATTTACGGGATAGGCCAGAATTTTGATGGCAACTTAACCAAAAAACATTTGCGTACAGATACCGCATACAACACTTATACCCGTACTGGCTTGCCTCCAACCCCTATTGCTATGCCAGGCGCTGCTGCGTTAAATGCGGCGGCGCAGCCTGCACAGAGCAAGTATTTGTATTTTGTATCAAGAGGTGACGGCAGTAGCGCTTTTAGTGAAAATCTGCAACAGCACAACCGAGCAGTCAAACAATACATATTGGATAAACCGTGAACAATTTGGGCTTTTTCATTACTTTTGAGGGTATAGACGGCGCAGGAAAATCCAGCCATATTGAAGCTCTGGCTGAATACTTGCGCGCTGCTGGCCTCACCACTTGTCTCACGAGAGAACCCGGTGGCACCCCTTTGGCAGAGCAATTGCGGGCTTTGCTGCTGCATGAGCCTATGGATGCTTTAAGCGAAGCTCTCTTGATGTTTGCAGCAAGGCGCGAGCATGTCTTGCAAGTCATCAAGCCTGCACTTGCAAAAGGGCAGGTGGTGTTGTGTGACCGTTTTACGGATGCTACTTTTGCCTACCAAGGTTATGGTCGTGGCTTTAATTTGGAAGTATTGCAGCAGCTAGAGCTTTGGGTGCAAGGCAATGATTTGCAAAAGCCCAGCGAAATTCTAGAACCAGACTGCACTTTCTGGTTTGACTTAAGTCCCCAAGTCGCAGCAAAAAGACTAGAGTCTGCAAGAAAACCCGATAAGTTTGAAGCCCAGAGCTTGGCTTTTTTTCAGCGTGTTGCGCAAGGCTACGCAATGCGGATGCAGCAAAACCCGCAGCGTTTTGTACATATTGATGCTGCACAAAGCGTTGAAAAAGTGCGTATGCAAATATTGGCGCAGGCTGACAAATTCATACCGCAATTAGCATCGCGTGCAGTCCGAGGCAACAAGTATGTCTGAGCAATCGTCGCATATTCGGACAAACTTAGCGTCTTCTGAGTTACCTCTATGGTTGGTGCCGCAATTACAAAGCTTGCTGCACCAACCCAGCCACGCCTTGCTCATTCAAGGCCAAAGTGGTATGGGCCAGTGGCCATTAGCCCTAGCCTTGGCACAGTCTTGGTTATGCGAGGCGCCTAGGGAGGCTAACGATGCTCATCGTATAGCTTGCCACGAATGCCCGTCTTGTCACTTAGTACAAGCCAGGACGCATCCTGATCTTT